CCATGCTAAATATGCAACATAGTTATGCATATACAAATCTAATCTAGCATATATCATGTGTCATGATCTTTACAATAGGAGTTAAAATCACGCTTAAACAAACAGCATACTACATATACCAAATAAGCACATAAACATATTTTCAAACCAAAACATTTTATCATGAAGCATATAAACACATAGAGCATGGAAACAAAAGCATGATATGCACCCAAAACACGTCGTCCAAGGTATTCAAACCAAGGAGCTCTGATACCACTTGTGACGGCATAAGTTTTTCAACCCGGTGCGTCAGTGATGAACCAAAAGTTGACCCGGTAATGGATCCGAAATGCGGAAGCAAAAGATGAAACCAAAGTCTCTAGAGATATAAACCATCTCTAAGACACCAATGTGACCTTCCATGAAGCCACGAAACTCAAAGAGGACGAAAGTGGAAACAAAGGTCAAAACGGCCAAAAATCGTGAACCAAGGGGCAAATTGGTCAAATCATAATTAAAAGGAGAAATTTGACTCTAAACAAGTAAAACAAGGTGAGTAAAACCTAATTTATTCATTTCACAACATTCCAAGAGGTTCTAAGAATATAGGACAAGAATCCCACAAAATGTCCTTTCCTGATTTAAGCAAAAACTGACACCCTCTAACTAAAACATGAATAACTCCCAATGTGATTGGAATCTGAGAATGGCATTGGTACCATTGGAAAGCTGACTCAAAATCCATGAATTTAGGCTCAATAATCACCCCATTTGGATAAGAAAGGAAGGAGATATGACCCTTTAAAGTCATAACAATAGTGCCAAAACTGAACAGAAGCTGTGCTCTGGATCTAGCTATTTCAGTCAACCGAAATGAGCCATCGGATGAACAAAATTTATACTGACAACATGTTTTTGAGGTGTGGTTACTTCGGTAGACCGAAATGAACCATCAGTTGACCGAAATGAGCCATCGGTTCACCGAAATGGCCCTAAACAGTATAATTGGCAACTAGAAATGGGTTTTTGAAGTCTAAACAATTACCAAAAGCTATCGGTCGACTGAAATGAAGTTTCAGATGACCGAAATGACTTCAAAATGTAGAAAAACACTTGATATGCACAAGAAATGTTGAAGCTTCACCCAAGCATCAAACCCCAACATGAATATGGATCAAAAATAAGATTTTAAGTTATATAAGCATGCTCGTAAGTGTACTTTACATAATGAAGTATGTTACAATGGCCTATGGCCTTATTACATGAAATTTGCTCAGAATCATATGCTAAACCTCAAGTTAGAAAAGAATACATTTCAATGACAAAACTTGAAACTTAAAAGCATACACTTGAACTTTAAGGTTGGTGACCCTTAGCCACAAATCATACATATCAAATAGGTCCCAAATAGTGTATCCAAGTACACTTTACATGTAATAAAACAAAAATGGCATAATAAACCTATCTAAGTGTTACAACATCAAAAGTAAGACTTGAACATGCAAACACTTGCATGTGAACAAGAATGCTTTGAAAGAACTTCAAATCTCCAAACCACCAAGGGTAAATGCTAATCTCCATACCTTGAATCCTATACCTGAAATATGCCCCAGTAACTTTGGGGTGAGCAACATAAAGCTACTTGTAGGAAATGAGCATGCATCGACCTACGTTTTACAATTTCATCACCTTTAGGTGAAACATATTAAAGGGGGCTCATGCCACCTAATGTCTATGTTAAGATAAGACTCGGGGAGCAGCCTAAGCTACCCTAGATCAATTCTATCATAAATCACATCATTCATGCAATTCCAACAATATAAGAGCATGCTTACACAAAGCAACAAAATGTAGATTCTCAAGGTTATCAACTTGAAATCTAAAAGTGTGAAAACAACTAAATATAACAATTTAGTATGGATGTACTTAACAACATCAAATCGCCAAAAGCCAAAACCACAAGTCATGATTAAACATGATTGTCAACTTGGAAATGATTGCGAAAACAAATAGTGGAAAACTTGGACATCAAATCCCGGATTTCCGCCGAGAACAAAATGGTTATTCCGGGCACTAACCCGCTTGGAAGACCAGCCTAATGCGCACTATCTCAATTGGGGAGAACTCATACCTCCCGCACTAAAGCCGAACTTTAGCCATATCACAGTAAAAATGTTCCAAAACTCTAAAATAATCAAATAAGTTCACAACTTATACGTAATTTATATAATGCACGAAAACCACCTTCCATGCACAAGTAGGTTGAAACCACACAATCCATGCTTTAAGTTTCAATTCTAAAATGACATACATAATGTCAACACAAAGTGTACAATTCCTTATACAAGTCAATCATATATTCAATATTGGAAACAAATTCTTATGAATATAAATTTAACAACAATGCTCTTCAATGCTTAAAACATAATCAAGTGAATACTCAACAAGTCGAAATCCATGATCTCAACATAGAAGCAACTTCTAAAACATGATTAAATCCATGGATAAACAAGATAGAATTTAGTTAAATCAAAATAATTAAACTCTCTAGATTTCACATCATTTCCAAATGGCCTCAATGTAATATATGTTAAAGGACAAATCATGGTCATTACATATATGCATTCAAAAGCTTAATTAGGCCAATTAAACCACAAAATAGATTTTAATTAATTCATTTAATTAAAGTCTCTAGAATTTCAAACTCAACCAAATGCTCTCAATTTAAAGTATGTTAAAGAACATGCCAAGACTTAATAAAAGCAAAACACAAGTTCATTTCACGTAAAGTATGGCCATGGGAATTAATCTTTCACAAAGAAAATATTAAATAAAAGACGCAACTTTTATTCAAATAATCCCAATTAAATATATGTTAACAAACATATTAAAACTAAGCTTTCTAGCATGCCACACTTCAAATCCAAGTTATACATCATCATGAAAATTTAATCTTATACAAAGAATTAAATATTACTAACTTTCTAGATTTGATACAAGGCATACATATAGGTTGTATAATCATGGGAAACACATAATACAACACACAAATAATCCTAAAACATTCCCTACCTCCATTTGAGATGAAATCTCAAATCCCCACCAAAATGAATGTGCTCCAAATCCGATAAAACTTTTAGGTTTTGTCGGGGACAACACCGTGAACATAACCCCCAAGGAAGCCCCATCAAATTCACATCTTAACTCAAGAAATGGACAAAACTGAATTCTAATAAGGGGGAATGGAAGAGCACATTGAGGGGAACAATAAACATAAAGGTACTACACCTTTTCAACCAAGGAAAGTGGCCGGAAGAAGAAGACCGGCAGCCATGGTTGCCATGGATGGCCGGCCAAAAGAGAGGAGAGAGAGAAAAAATTCTGATATTTTCTCATAAGTGCTCGTATTTATAGAAAAACCCTAAAAGTGCCCCGAACGGGCCCTGCCGGGTCCGGAAAAGTCAAATTCGCGCAAACGCGCTCAAACGGCAAAACTCCATGAACGAAAAAAAATTAAAATGAGGAAATAAGAACAACGAAAGAAACAACGTTGAAAACTGAGTCCCGAGCAGAAAGTTATGCCCCAAACAAGTTTGGCGCTAACTGGGGCCAGAAACCTTGAAACTGGAGAAAACAACCAGAAGGAAATTCCAAGAGTACACGACTAGACAAAAAGTGAAAATGAATCCCGTACGAGGATTCAGGCTCAAAACAAGACATTTAGCAATAACTTTCATTAATTGCATAATGTCCCTTCCAAAATGTGAAAATTGCATTAATGGCCCAGAATGAAAATATCTTCTAAAAAATATTTTCTTAAAAACCCCTAAAATAAAATATCTTCAAAAAATATTTACAAAAAACACCCCAAGGAAAGAAAAAGTTCCCAAAGAACTTTGCATCCATTCCCCTATGGACACCTGGAGCAACCAGAGTACTTTCTTGCAAAAGTAAAGATATTATTTCATGGAAACCACTTAGAATGAAAGTACGTGAAGTCAGAAACCAACTTCGAACACAAGAAGTGTGGTTATGTCAACAAAGTGAGAAACGGGGAAAAGACAAAATAGGAAAAAAGACGAAATAGGGAAAAGGACAAAAAGTGAATAGTGTCGAAAACGAAAAAAAATGTGGAATTGATTCAGCCCTCAAAGGAAGTTGTCAATCTAAAGAAAAAAGTTTTAGAAATCCCTCTAGAGCACTAGAGATGACACTAAGCGACAAGGAACTGAACACAGAAGAGGAAAGACAATAGAAAAAATTTATCCGCAAAATTTAAGAAAAAGGAAAAAAAAGATAAATAACCGGGTCATTACACTTACAGTGAAGTGTAATTAACAGAAGTCCGAGATAAAAAGGCTCAATTCAGAATGTTAGAGTCCAAACAAATTCTCACTAAACATTTTAAACTTAAACTTTCAATGTTGTATTCAGTTTCTCTTATTTTTCAAAGCCTATTAAAATCTCAAGTCAACACTCAGTGGTCTACCAAGAAGTGTAAAGAAGAACTGTCTCTCATTCTTGAAAAAAGATCCCTAAAGATGGCTGAGATCTGGAAGCAATCCACAAAGCAAATTGGGAAGACTGGAATTGGCTATGTGTGTGATTCAGCCATGCAGGTCAATTAAACTCACTCTGTATTTGTCAAAGCCACAACTGGTGAAGTGTATGCATGGTTTCCTATCATAAAACCTCCGAGGTTCAAGGGTGAGTTACTGAATAACACCTGTAGTGCTCTAAGCTTTAACGAGAAAGACTTTGTTACCTTGGCTATAAGGAACTTCAAGATAAATAAAATGTATGTCAAGAAGTCAGACTTAGCTTCAGCTCAAAAGGTCAAGGACAAAGGATCATTGGTGAAGATGAAAATGATGTGGATTCCTAAAAAGCTGAACTCTATGAGTCTTCTTGTGTATACAGCCTTTAAAGCTTGTAATCTTCAGGATAAATAGTATGTTGATAGTGGCTGCTCAAGACACATGACAGGTGATGGTTCCAAATTTAATTCTTTAAAGCAGTTTGATGGTGGAAATGTTATCTTTAGAGATAATCAAAGAGCTAAGATTATTAGAATTGGTACTGCGAGTAAGTCTAAAGAATTGCCAGAAATTCAAGAAGTTCAATTGGTTGAAGGACTCAAACATAACCTCCTCAGCGTTAGTCAATTGTGTGACAGTGGGAAGGAAGTCTGTTTCAATAAAGAAAGATGCAATGTGATTGATCTTGAATCAAAATAAGTTTTATTCTTAGCTAATAAAGCTTCAGGAAATGTGTACACAGTCACTGAAACAAGTCAGGTCACTCAATGTAATTTAACAATCTGTGATGAAGCAAAGTTATGGCACAAAAGGTTAGGTCATCTTCACTCAAGAAATATGTCCAAGATTCTAAAACTGAAAGCTGTTAAAGGACTGCCTGACATCAGTTTTAAGGATAATCACCTTTATAAAGCATGTAAACAAGGAAAGCAAACCAAAGCGTCATTTCCTTCTAAGGAAATTAACACCTCTAAGGCTCTTGTCCTGATACATATGGAACTTTATGGCCCTACCAGAACCACAAGTGTTGGTGGTAGTAAGTATTACATGCTGCTCATTGATGATTTCAGTAGAATGGTATGGGTTTACTTCTTGAAAGAAAAGTCAGAAGCTATTACACACTTCATTAAGTTTATCAATCTTGTTGAAAATAAAAGAAGTTGTACTGTGAAGAAGCTCAAGTCTAATTTTGGTTCAGAGTTCACCATGAAAGAATTTGAACATTACTGTGATGACAAAGGGATTAAGAAGGAATTCTCTACTGTAGCTACACCTTAACAAAATGGAGTTGTGGAAACAAAGAACAGGACAGTTCAAGAAATGGGGAGAACAATTTGGCTGAAGTTATGAATACTGCTATGCACATCATAAATATGGTTCTTCTCAGACCTAATTCAACCAAAACACCTTATGAATTGTGGTATGGAAGACCTGCAACTGTTCACTACTTCAAGGTGTTCAGGAGCAAATGTTATATACTAAACCACACTGATAGTTTGGAAAAGTTTGATTTAAAGGCTGATGAAGGCATATTCTTGGGATATTCTACAAAAACCAAGGCTTATAGATGCTATAATCTCAGGTCTTCGAAGGTGGTTGAGTCAATCAATGTGAATTTTGATGAGAATCCTCAGTCAACACTTATTGAAGACAGTAACAGCACATCTGGTTCAAATAAAGCCAGTACCTCAGTTCCTAAACCTAAAAACCCAAAAAAAATCACATATCTAGTGCTGCAGAAGCAGGTTCAAGCTAAGAACATCATTGGTTCATCTCAAGCTGGAGTTCAAACGAGAAACAAAAAGAAGCTAAAAGATTTAGAAGCTGAAGATAGTGAAGAATACAGTCACTTTGCTATGCTATCATCCATTGAACCAAAGTCCTATTTTGAAGCTCAAAAAGGTAAAGACTGGTTACTGCAATGCAAGACGAACTTGATCAAATTCACAAGAATGATACCTGGACACTTGTTCCCAGACTTGAAGACAAGAATGTGATAGGTTCAAAGTGGATTTACAGAAACAAGATGAATGAGAAGGGATTAGAATAAAAAATAAGGCAAGATTGGTGTGTAAAGGTTATACTCAGCAAGCTAGAATTGATTATAATGAAACTTTTACTCCAGCTGCTAGAATGGAATCCATTAGAATGAAACTTTTACTCCAGTTAAAGCAGATCAAATGGATATTAAGCCAGCTTTCCTAAATGGATACTTAAATGAAGAAGTTTACCTAGAACAGCCTGAAGGTTTTGAAGATTCAAAGTATCACTCTCATGTGTTCAAACTAAGTAAGGCCTTATATGGTCTCAAATAAGCCCCCAGAGCCCGGTATGAGAAGCTACATCAGTTCTTAGTTGAACAAGGATTTCACAGAGGTAAGGTTGATAATACTCTTTATGTAAAAACTCATCAAGAATAGTTTCTAATTCTACAAATCTATGTTGATAATATCATGTTTTGTGGCTCGGACACCTCATTGGCTTCAGAATTTGTCAATCTCATGAAGACAAGGTTTGAAATGTCACTCTCGGGGACTCTCAGATACTTTCTAAGCCTGCAAATTACACAAACTTCCTCTGAAATCTTTATCTCTCAGCAAAAGTATGCCTCGGAGCTACTTGAAAAGTTCAAAATGGATGATTGTAAGGCTGTCTCAACACCACTATGTCCTAATACCAAACTCTCACTGGAGTGCACCACTGAAGCTGTTCCTTCAACACTTTATAGGTCAATCATTGGTAGTTTAATGTATCTTACTGCTTCAAGGCCTGATATAATGTATTCAGTGGGTTTAATGGCCAGATTTTAAAGTAATCCAAAGGTTTCTCATCTTCAAGCATTCAAAAGAATCCTCAGATATGTCAAAGGCACCATCTCATATGGTCTATTCTACATTTACTCACCCTCAATGTCTATTGCAGCCTTCTCAGATGCTGATTGGGGTGGATATTTACCTGATAGAAAAAGTACCTCTGGTTGTTGCTACACTTTGGGTTCAAATGTGGTCTTGTGGCTGAGTAAAAAGTAGGACACTGTATCTCTTTTAACCTTTGAAGCTGAGTATATAGCTACCTCACAAGCTAGTTCACAATTACTTTGGATGAAAACTACTCTCTCGGATCTTAGCATTCAATTCTCAGGACCTCCCAAGCTTTTCTGCAATAATCAAAGTGCTATTACTATAAGTAAGAATCTCACACTGCATTGGAAGAGCAAACATATTGACATCAAGTATCACTTTCTCAGAGATAAAGTTCAAAAAGGTCTTATTGATATTACCTATTTGCCTACTGAAGATCAACTTGCAGACATCATAACCAAACCTCTTCTTCCTCATAGATTCTCAACCCTTCGAGCTCTTCTCAGGGTTGTTCCTCATCCCTCCTGAACTTCTATTGTTGGTCCTACTCACCTTTTGACCTTCAATGTCAAAAGGGGGGAGAAATGGATTGAAATAAGGATAGTTTCAAGCTATTCCTTTGCATTTGGGTTGTTCTACTTAGTGAACCTTTATCTTTAAAAGTTATTTTAAGGTTATTTGGTTTTTGTCATTAAAGGAAAAAGGGGGAGATTGTTGGTTCTAAGTTACCTTAAGGAATGTTTGTCTTTTAATGTCAAAAAGTATTGCAATGCTTCAGTCTCGGACAGTGAAGGTTCAGCAGCTACAGGTGCTCAGCCTCGGACAGTGAAGGTTCAGCATTTTAGTTTCAGCTACACGTGCTCTCAGGGGTACTATGGTCTCTTCTTAGTTGTATTTCAGATATATATACGTATGCTCAGGTACCTGCGTTGTACTGAAATTGAACCTGCATCGTGAGGAATACAGCTTCGGCTCTGTCATAGTGCTGAGTAGAGTTAAATCTGTTTTGAGGGTAGTATGGTCTTTTCCAACTATACTCAAGAATATGACACGTCTCAGTGGTCCTATAGAAGAATGTGACACATCTCAGTGGTCCTAGAGAAGAATATGACACGTCTTAGTGGTCCTAAAGAGTTGGTATATGCAAGAATATTTCATTCTTAGAGGCTAAGTTTGGACAAAAATGGAATTCAGTACTCAAACTTGTAACCTGCTGTAGCTGGAAGAATTGTGACAAAATTAGCTAAGGTGGCAGGTCTGCATTGGTCCATTACTCGGAAAATATCTAAAATGTGCTCTCTCAATCATTGGCTAGAGGTGACAGGTGTATATCCGTGGTGTGTGAGGCCTTGTGTAATTAAGTGTCACTATAAATATGTTGTTATAAGTCTCCTTAGGGTTTAAGCCTCTTTAATTTACATTGCACATTGAGCTACTGCTGAGAAACCTCGAGTATACTATGTCAAACAAGTTTTTCTCTACTATTTGATGATGATCTATGTAAGAAAAACTCATTGAATCCACTCTGAGGTGTGTACTGATTGCTAAGATGAGGCTGATGTCAAAGTAGCTGATGCGAGGGCTTTAAGCTACTGTGGTCATTTCTAAAGGTTGACACAAGTATAATTCATCTTTTTACACTTGTTCAGACTGTGTTTGTGTTAAGAATATGTTGAAAATGAACTTGGACGGTGTGGTCACTAGTTAAGCTTGTTTTTCTGAAGAAATCTTGGATTCAAGTGCTATTTGATTATACTTAGCTATTTCATAATGATCTATGCTACTAGATAGTATATTTTGATGAATCAAGATTGATAAAGTTGAGTTTGTGACAAAAATATGGCATGCTTTGATTTTGAGTAGTCAGTGCCGAAGTTGTTTTGTACTAAAGTTAATTTGTGCTGAGGCTATTCTGTACTGAGGCTATTCTTTGCCGAAGCTTTCTATACCAAAGCTTTCTGTGCTGAAGTTGTTATTTTCTGAACCAAGAACTTTGACTAAACTTTGTATACTCATGCTATGTTTGTTTATGCAAAGCTATAAACATGAGTACAGTAGTGAAAAAAAACTGTATGAGGCGCTGATGAATTGATCTTAAAAGGAATTTCCTATTTTACCCCTCAGACCGTAGATGCAGCGGATTGCAGTTCTAAGGCAGTAACTTGGAATTCTGTGTTGCCCAACCTATTCTAATTGTTGCAAAGACTTTATTGTATTTAGTGTGTTAACACTTATTATTGCTAATGCAAGTGAGGCATGATCCCTCACCCCATTGTTGATTAAGCTGTAAGAGCTTATTGGGTCCAAGCGCGGTTGTTTAGGACAGGGGGAATGCTCAGATGCACTGTGGTATACTAATGTGTGTTTATTGGTTGTGAAAACTAGTGTCTACTTGGTGCATGGGTGTGTGTAGAAAGTGAGACAGCTGAGTGTGTAACAAGATACATACAACTAGTGGATTGCTTATTAGCCAAGGCCAAGAACTAAGGTTTTCCCTAATTAAGAGGGTTTCCTTGTAAATCTTGTGTTATCTGTTCTTTGATTGCTTGCTTAGTGTGCGAGAAAGTTTTTTAAAAGAAAAGTTTTAACCAATTCACCACCCTCTTGGTTCAACAATTAGACATTAGTTCTTTGTTGATTATTTACTTTAAAGTTATTTTATTTTTATTTTCTCATTTAATATATGTCAATTAGGTACTTGAAGCAAAGTGGAGCAAACGCTGGACTTTTAAGCACTAAAAATTTTGAAATTGCTTAAGGACCATTTGTAAGTTTTTCTTTGAGTCTTAAATTTAATTATCAAGTATTTTGCATGCTTTGGACAGCCCAACTGGAGGCTTAAATTGAATTGTTTTATTTTTATGTCCATGCATATCTTCTTATAGAAGGCATCAGCCTGTGTGGAGGTTTTTATTTATTTTGTGCACTGATATTATTGAGGAGTTTGGGAACATCGTATGTGGAGGATGAAAATTTAAGTGTTGGTTTATTGACTTATTCTAGTCCATGCATGGTCGTAGATCACTTAGTCGTCCTCTTACTCCTGTAAATAAAAATCTCGAAGTTTCCTTTCGGCGTTTAAGAGGTAGTACTAGGGATAGTCATCATATTCTTCCCACTTTTGATCTTCCATCACCCTTAATGGAAGACCCAATTGAAGATCCCATTGAAGATCTTGGTCATGTGGATCATCAAGGTGTGCACCACCCACAACAAGTTCATATTGTGGATCCTCAAGGTGTGCATCCACCATTGGGAATGCCACGACTAATCAATCCTGTTGTGCAACAACCTAATCTAGGGATGCCAAAGCCAAATGTTGTTTCCCAATTGGTGAGCAACAACATCAATATGTTCAATACCAACCTCAAGGTCAAATGGCATACCCTCTCCAAGGTCAAGAGGTATATCTACCTCTCAATCCTCCAATGGTCCTTAGGCACTTGCATTTAATTACCAAATTTCCGTGCTTATCATTATGAGATTAAGGCTTCCACCATTAACATGTGCCCCCTTTTCTATGGGTTGATTAATGAAGAGCCTTATAAATATTTAGATGAGTTCTTAAAAGTTTGTTCCATCGTGAAAATCATGGATGTGCCAGAAGAAGTCTTAAAATGAAGCTTTTCCCTTTCACTCTTCAGGATAAAGCTAAATATTGGTTTAACAATTTAATCCAGCCCCGGCTTCAGTAATTTAGACAGCAGCAGCATCTCAGCATATTGATTACACACAAGGCTTGAGTTAGTGGGTTTTTCTAGCATAGTTCATCATTGCAAATCACAGAAAAACTGGTTCAATAATAGGAACTCGAGAGTTATTGGCTGCAGCTTACTCTTAGTCTATTTTGAAGGCCATTAACCCTAAAAGACTCCTATAGCAACATATATATAGACTTATGTAAATGTTTGACTGCTCCTCACTAAATTTAAGGATGTCACCTTTTAGACAATGATAATATAAGAACAATTCTGACATTCCCTCAGTGAAAGGACAATGTTGCCCTTGATATCTCACCATATAATGACACCTTGTGCATTAGAAAAATCAGTTCATACAGGTGAGGTCACAATGACTTTTATCTTTGCTTAGCCTCTAAGTTCTACAACACCATTGGAGGACAATACATTCATGGACCATAGCCACATGTCACACTCCTGAGCATACTTGAAAAACTTTAAAAACCAGCCTTACACCAGTTGTATATTATATTCAGCAGAATACTGTTGCTGAGGCTGTATTAGTCACAATGTAGGCTTACCACAGCAATTCAGTGCAATGCAGCTAGTCAGTCATACGAGTATTCATAGAATACATCAGAGAAAATACTAAAATACCTTTGTGAGCACCTGCAACAAGTTCCTTATACACTGAACTTCACTGAGATCATTCAATTTAGCTAAATCAAGTGTACAAGCTGTGATGAATTAATACATGCCAATGTAAAAAGTCTGTCACTGCATTGAAAATGACAATGCTACCCCAGTATGATATGTTAAACCACAATGTAGATAGGTTATGCACTTAAGCTCACTGAACCAAAGCTTTTTTGACATTAAACAGGCAAATGTCTTTAGAGAACTTTAGGACCAATAATCTCCTTGCTTTTAATGATAAAAACTTTGATATGAAATAAGGCCTCAGTTATAGTGATTCAGATAACAAACAAAGAACAACCTAACACTCATCAAATGATAAGAATAGCCTGACATTATCCTTATTTTAGTTCTTTTCTCCCCTTTTTTGACATTGAAGGTCAAAAGGGAGCAGGACCAACAATTATACTAAGTTCAAAGAGGTGGGTAACAACCCTGAGAAGATCTCTAAGGGTTGAAAATCTGTAAGGAAGAAAAGGTTTAGTCATGATGTCTGCAATTTGATCCTCAGTTGGAAGATAAGTAATATCAAGAAGCCCTTTTTGGACTTTATCTCTGAGAAAATGATACCTGATATCTATATGCTTGCTCTTCCAATGTAATGTGGGATTTTTACTGATGGCAATAGCACTCTGATTGTCACAAAAGAGCTTGGGAGGCATGGAGAAGTGGAGTCCAAGATCTGCCAGGGTAGACTATATCTAAAGTAATTGAGAACCAGCTTGAGAGGTAGCTATATACTCATTTTCTAAAGTAGATAGAGAGACTGTTTCTTGTTTTTTACTAAGCCAGGAGACTACATTAGAACCAAGAATATAACAGCAACCAGAAGTACTCATTCTGTCAGGTAAGGATCCACCCCAATCAGCATCTGAAAAGGCAGCTATAGACATTGTTGTTGAAAAAATGTAATGTAGACCATAAGAGATTGTGCCCTTAACATATCTGAGAATGCGTTTAGCAGCTTAGAGATGAGACATTTTTGGATTACTTTGAAATCTGGCTACCAATCCCATTGAGTACATTATATCAGGTCTTGAAGCTGTAAGATATAGTAGACTGCCAATGATAGACCTATAAAGTGTGGATGGAACTACTTCTGAAGTATAATTAAGTGACAGTTTGGTATTGGGACACAAAGGTGTTGAAACAGACTTGTTATCACTTATATTGAACTTCTTAAGTAATTCTGAGGCATACTTTTGTTGTGAAATAAAGATCCCTTTAGATGTTTGAGCAATTTGAAGTCCTAAGAAATACCTGAGAGTACCTAAGAGTGATATTTCAAACCTTATCTTCATAAGATTGGCAAACTCTAATGCTAAAGAAGTGTTGGAGCCACAAAACATGATGTCATCTACATAGATTTGAAGAAATAGAAATTGGTCTTGATGAATTCTGACATACAGGGTGTTGTCAACTTTGCCTCTATGAAAGCCTTATTCAATTAAGAACTAATGTAGTTTTTCATACCAAGCCCTAGGAGCTTGTTTGAGACCATACAAGGCTTTGCTTAGTTTGAATACGTGAGAGGGATATTCAGAATCTTCAAAACCTTTAGGTTGCTCTAGCTAAACTTCCTCACTTAGATCTCCATTTAGAAAAGCAGATTTGACATCCATTTGGTACACTTTGACTTGTTGGTGACATGCAAAGGACAACAACATTCTTATGGACTCCATTCTGGCCACAAGAGCAAAGGTTTCATCATAGTCAATACCAGCTTGCTGTGAATAGCCTTTACACACCAACCTTGCTTTATTTATGATAACAGATCCTTTTTCATTCATCTTGTTTCTGTAAATCCATTTAGAGCCAATTACATTCTTATCTGCAGGTCTAGGTATAAATGTCCAAGTATCATTTTTGTTAATTTGATCAAGTTCTTCTTACATGGCTACAACCCAATCCTTAATCTTCTGAGCTTCAAAGTAAGATTTAGGTTCAATAGATGACAGCATTGCAAAGTGACTGTATTCTATGCTATCCTCAGCTTCCAACTCAGTTAACTTCTTCCTATTCCTTGTTTGAACTCCAGCTTGAGATGAACCAATAATGTTTTCAGCTTGAACCTGCTTCTGCAGTACTGGGTAAGTAGCTTCTTTTGAATTCTCAGGTTCAGTCACTGAGGAGCTGGTTTTATTTGAACCAATTGTATTATTGTTGTCTTCAGTTAGAGTTTCACTTGAGGATTTTCATCAAATTTCACATGGATTGAATCAACCACCTTCGAAGACCTAAGGTTGTAATATCTATAAGCCTTGCTTTTTGTATAATACCCCAGAAATATGCCTTCATCGGATTTTGAATCAAACTTCACCAAACTATCAATATGATTAAGTATATAACACTTGCTGCCAAATATTCTGAAATAGTGAACTGTTGCAGGTTTTCCATACCTCAATTCAAAAGGTGTCTTAGTTGAATTTGGTCTAAAGAGAACCCTATTGATGATATACACAACAGTACTTACAGCTTAAGCCTAAAACCCTTTTGCCAAACCTTTTTTAAGCAACATTGTTCTCCCTATTTCTTGAACTGTTCTGTTTTTTCTCTCCACAACTCCATTTTGTTGAGGTGTAGTTATAGCTGAGAATTCCTTTTTAATTCCCTTGTCATCACAGTAGTGTTCAAATTCTTTCATAATGAACTCTGAACCAAAATTAGACCTGAGTTTCTTCATAGTACAGCTTCTTTCATTTTCAAGAAGATTGGCAAACTTAATAAATTGTGTAATAGCCTCAGACTTTTCTTTCAGGAAGTAAACCCACACCATTCTGCTGAAATCATTAATGAGTAGCATAAAATACTTAGTACCACCAACACTTATGGTTCTTGTAGGGCCACAAAGATCCATATGTATCAGGTCAAGTGCCTTAGAGGTATTAATTTCCTTAGAATGAAATGAAACTTTAGTCTACTTTCCTTGTTGACATGCTTTACAAAGGTGATCATCCTTAAAACAGATGTCAGGTAGTCCTTTAACAGCTTTCAGCTTCAGAATCTTGGACATATTTCTTGAATGAAGATGACCTAACCTCTTGTGCCATAATTTAGCTTCATCAGAGGTTGTTAAATTGCATTGAGTGACCTGAATTTCTTCAGTAACTGTGTAAACATTTCCTGAAGATCTACTAGCTGAGAACGAAACTTGTTTTGATTCCAGATCAATCACATTGCATTTTTCTTTATTAAAACAGAATTCCTTCCCACTGTCACACAATTGACTGACACTTAAGAGATTATGTTTGAGCCCTTCAACCAATAGAACTTCTTGAATCTCTGGCAATTCTTTAGACTTACTCACAGTACCAATTCCAACAATTTTAGCTCTTTGATTATCTCTGAAGATAACATTTCCACCAACAAACTGCTTTAAAGATTTGAATTTGGTACCATCACCTGTCATGTGTGATGAGTAGCCACTGTCAACATACCATTTGTACTGAGTATTACAGGCTTTAAAAGTTATATACATAAGAAGACTTACAGAGTTCAGCTTCTTAGGGATCCACATCATCTTAGACTTCACCACTGACCCTTTGTCTTTGAATTAAGTCTGACTTCTTCACATACATCTAAGTGACCTTGAAGTTCCTTGCAACTGATGTAACAAAGTCTCTCTGATTGAAACTCAATGGATTTTGGATGTTATCAAGAATATCAAACCTTGATTTCAGAGGTTTTACAATGGGATATCTTGCATACACTTCACCAGTGGTTGCCTTCACAAATATTGAATATCTTTTATTAATCTTTGCAGCTGAATCACATACAAATTTGTTTAGTGGATTGTTTCCAAATTTTAACCATCTTCAGAGACCTCTCCTCAAGTATAGTAGATAGTTCTTCCTTGTACCTTTTAGTGGACCACTGAGAGTTACCCTGAGCCTTAAGTAAGCTTAGGAAAATAAGGGAAATTGAGCACATGGTTGACAGTTTGAGTTTAAGTGTTTGGTGAGAATTTTTCTGGACTTTAACAGTTCTGAATTCAGCTTTCTAATTTGAGACTTCTGTTGATTGCACTTTATAGCAAGTCTTTCACATTCTTTAAGAATTTCTTCAATCTCTGTGTCAGTATCTTCTTCAGTTTCAACTGAATCTTTTGGAGGTTCAAGGATGGCCATGAATAAACATTCATCTTCTTGAGCTTCTTTAGGTTTCTTTTCTTCTTCAATGGCTGTTTCCCAATTTGAAAGTAAGGTTTTTCTTCCAAACCTTCCTTTGTTGTTAGGTCCCTCAAACTTTCTCTGAGTTTTCCCCTTAGAGTTAGGACACTTAGACACAATATGACCAAGCTTACCACACCCATAACATGTTAGGTTTTGCTGCTGAGATTTCTTTTTGAACCTGAATTTTTTGAATTTCTTAGCAAGGTAAGCCACTTCATCCTCTTCAAGATCATCTTCAGACTTAGACTCATCTTCCTCAGCAGTTTCCTTGGCTTTAAGTGCAATTTCTCTTCTATATAGAATAGGAAGACCAACTCTCATCTCATAAGCTATGAGAGATGCTTGAAGTTTATCAATCTTCATGTTGGATAAATCTTTGTCTTCTAGAATAGTAACCTTGGCATTGAATCTGGAAGTGAGAGATCTAAGAATTTTCTTACACACATCAGAATCTTTAATGTCTTCACCAAGAGCTCTCATATTGTTTACAAGATTATTGATTCTGAACATGTATTTTGCAATGGTCTCTCTTTCCTCCATTTTACAAACTTCATATTGAAACTTGAAAAGCTGAATTTTGTTTTCCTTTATAACATTGTTTCCCTCATAAGCTGCCAGAAGTGATTCCCACATTTCCTTGGCTGTCTTATAATATTTCACTTTGGTAAATTCTTGCTGCTTCAAGGCACAGAAAAGAACATGTTTGGCCTTCCCATCATTAGCTACAGCTACCTTGTCTTCAGCAGAAAGATTTTCAGGATTGAGAATTATAACACCATGTATAGTAGTATGCCAAACATCATAGGACTGAGACATCAAAAAGGCTTCCATTCTAGTTTTCCAAGAATCATAGTTTGAGCCTTCAAAATCAGGAGCATTGTTAATAACTTGACCTTCATCCATAACTAGGACCAGCTGTAGGCTTGTTAGAACCTTTCGATGCAGACCCAAGCTCTGATACCAATTAATGAACCAAGAGGGGGGGTGATTTTGTTAATTTCTTTTCAACAGAATCAATAAGATATAGTAGCAAGCATATAATAAGTACTTAAAACAGGATTTACAAGGAAACCCTTTCAACTAGGGAAAACCTTGGTTCATGGTCTCAGCCAATGAAATCCACTACTAGCTATATGTACCTTGTTACACACTCAGCTGTTTCACCTTCTGCACTCACCCAAGCACAAGGATGGATACTAGTTTTCACAACTAATACACATACTAGTTGATTTCAGTGCATACACACACTCCCCCTGTCCTAAGCATCCTTGCTTGGACCAACAAAGCTCATATAGCTCTCTATATACATCATTAAAAATGATAAACAATATAGTCAAGTTCCTTCTACAAGTGAAATAGCTTAAATAGCATAAAAAAACCAAGTTACTGCCTCAAAAACACTAATCTGCTGCAGCTAGGATTTGAGGGGTAATTTCCATTTGAGATCAATTCACCAGTAGCTTCCATAGTCTTATTTTACAGCAGTACTCATGTAAATATCTTTAAACAATTCAGCATAGAATGATTATATATTAGGTTCAATCATAGTTCTTGAATAAGCACAACACAACACTGTTCAAGGGGTTTTGTAAGGTCATAATCACAATCTGCCAATGTTTTGCATCACAGCTAATTTCAACAGCTTTGATTCATCAAAATAGACTTGCTAGCACATTGATAATCCATAGAATAGCTAGCCTTAATCATTTTGCACTTGAATCACAGTATATATCAGAAAAAAAAAAAAAAAAAAAAAAAAAAAAGCTTATCTACTAATCTAAGAATCCAAAATCCATTTCAGCATGTTTCAATTCAAAACAAACTACTGAGCAAGTGTAAATAGCATAGATATACCTGCGACAACCCTCAGAAATGACCATAGCAGCTTGGAACTCAAACTCACTACTCAATCCAGCCCTTGCTCCAGCAATTTAAACAGCAGCAGCATCTCAGCACATTGATCACACACAAGGCTTGAATCTGTGGGTTTTTCTAGCATAGATCATCATTGCAAATCATAGAAAAACTTGTTCAATAATAGGAGCTCGAGAGTTCTTGACTGCAGCTTACTCTTAGTCTATTTTTAAGGCCATTAACCTTAAAAGACTCCTATAGCAGCATATATATAGACATGTGTAAATGCTTGACTGCTCCTTACTAAATTCAATGATGTCACCTTTCAGCCAATGATTGTATAAGAACAATTCTAACAATCCCTCAATGAAAGGATAATGTTGCCCTTGATATCTCACCATATAATGACACCTTGTGCATCAGTAAAATTAGTTCATACAGGTGAGGTCACAATGACTTTTATCTTTGCTTAGCCTCTAAGTTCTGCAACACCATTAGAGGACAATACATTCATGGACCACAGCCACGTGGCACACTCCTGAGCATACTTGAAAAACTTTAAAAACCAGCCTTATACCAGCTATATATTACATTCAGTAGAATACTGTTGCTGAGGCTGTATTAGTCACAATGTAGGCTTACCACAGTAATTCAATGCAATGTAGCTAGTCAGTCATACGAGTATTCATAGAATACATCAGAGAAAGTACTAAAATACCCTTGTGAGCACCTGTAGCAAGTTCCTTATACATTGAACTTCACTGAGATCATTCAATTTAGCTAAATCAAGTGTACAAGCAGTGATGAATTAATACATGCCAATGTAAAAAGTTTGTCACTGCATTGCAAATGACAATGCTACCCCAGTATCATATGTTAAACCATAGTGCAAATAAGTTATGCACTTAAGCTCACTGAACCAAAGCTTTTTGACATTAAACAAGCAAATAGGTCTTTAGAGAACCTTAGGACAAACAATTGCCGCCGAGGTCAAAAATTTTACTCAAAGGTTTGATAAATTCCTTTTGAGTCAAGGTCCGGCAATTCAATCTTATTCCCATCATTCCAATGAAATGTGCATGACTTGTTCTAGTTACATTCACCATACTTCAAATTGCCCTCTTGGACAAATCATACCAAATGAGTCTCAAGAACAAGCAAATGCTGCTTTTATTCATCAAGGGAACAACCCTTATTCCAATACTTGCAATCCGGGGTGGAAGAATCATCCAAACTTTGCATGGAAAAATCAAGGAGATGGTACAAACCCTCCTCAAACTCAAGGTTACCAAGCAAAGTATGTTCCCCCACATCTCCAAAATCAGAATTCTCAAGGTTACCATCCTTTATTCTATCTTTAAAATGTGAATCAATATTCTCATCCTCAAGCATCAAATTCTCAATCCTACTCTCATCCTCAAGCATTAAATTCTCAATCTTACTTTAATCCAAATCAAATGCCTCCTAAAAGTCCCACTTTTTAAGACAAGGTCTTGGAAGCCATAGGTGATCTTCGAAAAGATAATCAATTATTTCATTCTCACTCTCAATCAATTGCAAAGCTTGAAGCTCAAATCGGGTAATTAGCTAATTCTTTAAATGTGAGAGAGAAAGGTAAGTTGCCTAGTCAAACTAAGACCAATCCTAAGGGGTAGTTTATGGTGCAAACAAGTCCTTCATCGGGATTTTTCAGAAATGAGCAAGTTCAAGCAATTATAACCTTGAGGAGTGTTAGGAAAGTGGATAATAAGGTAGAGGTACCTAAGGAGGATAGTGAACTGGCACAACCAAATGGTTGCATCCGTCCCATTCAAAATCCTATTCCTACTTCCATGGATGCTAGTGGTTCCAAAAAGGTCATTCCATCATCTTCATCATCATCTCCCCAATTAGAGAAGCCTTATGAACCAAAAGCTCCATTTCCTTAAGCTTTGAGAGAGACTTCATCATTTAGGAGACAAGAAGGAAAAATTCATGACATGATGGAAGGGTTTAAATAAGTGAAAATTAATCTTCCTCTTCTAGATGCAATTAAGCAAATTCCACCATATGCAAAGTTTTTGAAGGACTTGTGCACTCAAAAGAGGAAAAACAAAGGAAAGGACCTTAAGAATGTGCTTCTAATGGAACAACTGAGTTCTATTCTTCTTCATAATACTCCTCCTAAGTTCAAGGATCTAGGTGCTCCGACCATTTCTTGTGTAATTAGAAACTAAGAGGTTCATAGAGCTCTCCTTAATTTAGGTGCAAGTATTAATCTCATTCCATACTCTGTTTACTTGCAATTAGGATTAGGGGACTTGAAGCCAAAATCGGTAGTAATCCAACTAACCAATAGATTAATTAAGAAACCTAGGGGAATTATTGAAGACATTCAAATTAAGGTTGATAAGTTTTATTTCCCAGTTGATTTTGTAGTACTTGATACTGAACTAGTCCATAATCTTACTAATCACATTCCAGCCATCTTAGGAAGACCATTCCTTGCTACTGCCAATGCCACCATTAATTGTAGATTAGGCATTATAGACATTTCTTTTGGTAACATGATGGTTAAGCTTAATGTATTTAATGCGAGTCAACATCCCACAGATGAAGATGAGTGTTTCCTAGTGGATGTCTTGGATGAAATCATAGAGGAGACTCTTCCCTCTATTCTTTCTAAGGACCCTCTTGAGGCGTGCCTTTGTGAAATGTTTGAAAGTTGTGGTTTTAACATGGAAGGATCCATAAGTGAGGTGAATGCTTTGATGGACTCTGTGGCCACTTTGGATTTCCCACCTTAGAAAAACAAGAAAGAACGTCTTCCTTCACTCTTTAGTACTCCACCAGTTCCTTCTCTCATCTCTCTTCCTACTCTTGAGTTTAAGCCTCTTCCATCCAATCTTAAATATGCCTTCTTAGGCCCAAAAGAGACTCTTCTAATCATCATTGCTTTAAATCTTGAAAATGACCAAGAGAATGATCTTTTGGAAGTGCTTAAAGCTAAAAAAATAAGCCATTGGAAAGAGTGTGGCTGACCTAAAAGGTATTGACCCTTCTATTTGTATGTATCGCGTACACATGGAAGAGGACAAAAGGCCATTTAGGGATGCTCAAAGGAGATTGAACCCAAATATGAAGGAAGTTGTCATGATGGAGGTTGTAAAACTTTTAGATGCGGGAATTATTTATCTTATCTCTAATTCCAAGTGGGTTAGTCCAACTCAAGTGGTTCCCAAAAAGTCAGGAATTATAGTTGTTGAAAATGCTAAGGGTGATCTCATTTCGAAACGCACAGCCACTTCGTGGCTTGTTTGCATAGATTACTGAAAGCTGAATTCCGCCACTAGGAAGGACCATTTTCTATTGCCTTTCATTGATCAAATCTTGGAAAGATTGGCCGAGCAACAATATTATTTCTTCCTATATGGTTACTCGGGGTACAATTAAGTGGCTTTAGACCCATTAGACCAAGAAAAGACCACCTTCACATGTCTCTTTGGTACATTTGCTTATCGACGAATGCCTTTTGATTGTGCAATGCTCCAGCCATTTTTCAAAGGTGTATGATGTCAATTTTTTCATACATAGTGGAGAAATATTTAAAAGTCTTCATGGATGACTTCTTGGTTTTTGGGTCCTCTTTTGATTCGTGTGTCCAAAATTTCTTAAAAGTGCTTTAAAGATGTTATGAAACTAATCTCTTGTTAAGTTAGGAAAAAAGCCATTTCATGGTTCAAGAAGGAATCGTGCTTGGACATGTCATTTCAAAAAGAGGAATAGAAGTTGACAAAGCAAAAGTTGAGCTAATTTTAGAATTGTCTCCACCTACAATGGGGAGAGAAATCCGCTCATTTCTAGGCCATGCTTGTTTTTATCGCCGATTCATCAAAGACTTTAGCAAAATTGCTAGACCTTTGTGCAATCTTGTTGCCAAGGAGACACCATTTGTCTTTAATGAAGCATGCCGAAATGCTTTTCATCAACTTTGCACTCTTCTATCGTCCGTTCCCATCATGCAACCTCCAAATTGGTCCTTACCATTTGAGATTATGTGTGATGCTTCC